ATGATCTTGACCTAATTTTTTCATCTGCCAGGTACTTGCACGGATTTGACAGGAGATTGATTTGGCTTTAGAGAGTCCTGGAACTGCACAAAGTGTTTTTCATATTGGAAAAGACATACCCAGTTTTTTACAAGTTTTAAGATTTATTGCCTCCCCCTAACATGTTGCAAATTAATTTGTTTGCTATTTGTTTTAGTCAGAATGTAGAAATTGGTGTCATTAGCCAAAGGATAAACCTGATCCCAAGAATGGGCAGACTGCCTTTTAACACTGTTTTTATTTGGTATCTTTGCAGGTCTGGACATTAGATGGGTAGACTGCTACTTTCCTTTTACTCACCCTTCCTTCGAGATGGAGATCAACTTCCATGGAGAATGGCTAGAAGTTCTTGGCTGTGGAGTGATGGAACAACAACTGGTAAATTCAGGTAGAAAAGAATCCAACATTTTATTTACAGGCTCTCTTAAAAACCACTCTCCTCTCCTTTAACCTTATTTACACACTCATTTACATAGGCATTTACATATTCCTGTAAGGATAGCCTTACCATCTTCCTCATAGTGCCCTCCAGACTTATCTCCAATACTCAACTCTAGAAGAACTTAATCTCTCACACTTAATTTTGTAATGGTTTCTGTTTTTGGAGATCTTTCTTGTCAGCACTTTGCTGTTCAATTTGTACTTCGGCATTTCGTCTTTATTGGTATGTTGCTTTTTAATTGGCCCGCCAATGTTTGATGCATGTCATATATGAGTGCTGTTTGTGTTCCAAACTATTTAAGAACAAAGCCAATGTATTACCCTTTTTTGTTCATATTGCATTTAGAATAATGCCTAAATTCAACAGATACATCATAAAGACAATAAAACACACTATAAAAATACTTAAGAGGCTCTCAATGTTGACAGTGCCACCTAATTGAGGATAAGTTGGAAGACAGGATCTCTGATTAAATTCTATATATAGGTACTTAAGAAAGATCTTTCCAGCTCTTCTCTGCAGGACCATTGCTTAATAAAAATGATTATTTCTAAACTTAATTTCAGAGCTGTGATTTTTTAATTTTAAATTTTTATTTCAGAGAGGAAAGGAGAGGGAGAGAGAGATAGAAACATCAGTGATGAGAAAGAATCATTTATAGGCTGCCTCCTGCACGCTCCCTACTGGGGTTCGAGCCCGAAACCCAGGCATGTGCCCTTGACTGGAATTGAACCCAGGACCCTTTAGTCTGCAAGCCAACGCTATATCCACTGAGTCAAACCAGGTGGGGTGAGCTGTGAGTTTTATAATGTCTTCCATACTTAAATAAAAACAAAACAAAACCCCAACTCTTAGTCAACCAAGTCACAAACATAGTAAAGAAACAAATTAACTAATTTATTGGAAATCTTGCAAAAACATTCCTCATTTTTATACTTGGTAGAGTTACTGTCACCTATTCACCTTTGTCAATCTCAAGCTTTCCTTCATAAGAAGTGTCATTAGAAGCAGGTTTGAAGTCATCTAGAAATAGATACAGATAAGGATTTTTATACAGTGAACAGTACTTGAATACCTGGATCTAAAAAATAGCATGTTTCAGAGTGATAAGTCATTTATCAACAACCAGTAATTAAAATGGCTTAGAAGCATTTTTATATCACAAAATATTTAAAAAGTCGCCGTTTGAATTTAATTTAAAACATATTTTTTCAGAGTATAAATCCTTTCTGGGAACTCAGTTGAGATTTGAGCAGGGGCTGATCGCATAAGCAGTAACTGGAGTGGAAGTGATGCATATTGCAAAGTGCACTCTGCCCCTATATCCCACTTAGTCCCCACTCAGCTTCTGTAGAAGGACATTTGCTCTGTGGTGTTGGAGGCCAGTGGGTCTGGGTTCAGGGTTGGTCACAGGGCTTCCTACAGCAGAATGGAGAAGAGCAGCCCTTCTTGGTGACTAAGAAATGTTGATAGACCAGTGATCAGCAAACCGTGGCTCTTTGGCCCCTTGAGTGTGACTCTTCCTCAAAATATCACATGCGGGCACGCATGTACAGTGCGATTAAAACTTCGTGGCCCATGCGCAGAAGTCAGTTTTTGGCCTGGGCGAGTCTATTTTGAAGAAGTGGCGTTAGAAGTGGGGGGTGTCGGTGGTCAGGCGACGGGAGACGTGGCACAGGTGGGCCGCGGGATACGCAGCGCGGGGGAGGCGCCAAATATCAACAGTACGTAAACTATATAGGTAGGTTAATAACAATGTACCTACCTGTATAGTTTAAGTTTAAAAAATTTGGCTCTCAAAAGAAATTTCAGTCATTGTACTGTTGATATTTGGCTCTGTTGACTAATGAGTTTGCTGACCACTGGGATAGACCATAGATAACATCATGAGGTTAGAGAATAAGGGCAGAGTAAGATGGAAGAGATGAGGTGGCAGTGAAGTGCAGGAGTTTGTATTATTTGGGCTGGGAGACCAGAGACCTGGCCTTCCCTTCTTACTCTTAGGTAACCTCACCTGCAGGGCCTGGATTCAGTCAGCTCAGATTCTTGTCCATTCTGCCTAGGAAGGCTTTGGGGGAAGCCCTGCACTCTGCCAAATGTTTCTTGGATACTTTTCAAATACTTGTAGATCTGTATTAGAGAAGAGGGAGCACAGAGATCACAAATTAGGGCCTGTGCATAAAAGTTTTGAGGAATGAGCTTAAAAATTTTGAAGCCTGAGGGTAAAAGTTTTGAGGCCTGAGTTTGGGTTCTGTCAGTTGACAGCTGTGTGCCTTCAGGCAAATTGCTTAACCCCTAAGAGTCTTGATGTTCTCATATTAACACCTTGTGGACCAGTAGTTTTATTGCTAGCTTTACCCAGTGGCCAGATAAGTTTCTATTGAACGAGTTTTACATAAATGTTAAAGGCACGCTTTAAAATTAAATACCCATTGCATTTTGAAGTTATTTATTACATGTTCTTACAAGCTAATATCTTTTTAAAGTATGATACTTTGTAAAACACTGTGTAATATGAAGCAAGAATTCTCGTGATCTGTCCGCAATGTGGTAAAATGGGCACAGTGACTCTTTCCTTAACGTTCTATTATGAGGATTAATGGAGGATCTGGCAGCTAGGAAACATTCAGTAAAAATTGATAATTTTAAAAAATTTTCAAATGACTAGAGCTATTTATCAACAGAGATACCCCATAATAGGAAATATTTAAACAGAGGCTGACCTGCATATTACAGAAATGATTTATAACCAACTGGAACTAGATTACCTCTGATCTTAGTCATCTCAGGATCTCTGATTCTAGATTGAGTGATTGATTTGTTAGGGAACAGGAAAATTAAGAGTATTAAGAAACAGAAAATTCAGCTCTATAGATGAATAAGCATCTTAATAGAAAACAAAATATTGAGGGCATCTTTGTAAGATTTAATCTCTTCTTGAGTAGGAGCTAGCTTCAAATACTTCTATGGTGTTTTTATTTTATTTTTTAGTTTTGCTTTCATTTCTCATTTTTATTTTAAATTAAATTTACTGGGGTGACATTGGTTAATAAGTATACAGTTCCATAATACATCATCTGTATATTGGTTGTGTGTTCACCACCCGAAGTAAAATCTCCTTCTGTCACCATATATTTGACCCCCTTTACCTTTTACTACTGTTCCCTTATTCCCCTTCCCCTCTGGTAATCACCATGCTGTTGTCTGTGTCTATGAGTTTTTATTTGTTTGTTTGTCTTGTTTGTTCATTTACTGTTTTCAGTTTTATATTTCACTTGTGAATGAAATCATATGGTTTTTGACATTTTCCGTCTGACTTATTTCACTTAGCCTGATATTCTCAAGATCCATCCATATTGTCACAAATAGTTTTGATCTCTTCTTATGGCTGAGTAATATTACATTGTACATATGTACCACATCTTCTTTATCCAATCATCTATTAAAGAACATTTTGGTTATTATCATGTCTAGGGCACTGTGAATAATGCTGCAATGATCATAGGGGTCTATATACAGGGGTTGGTAAAAATAGGTTTATAGTTGTAAGTGTGCAAAACACAGAGTTTATTCTTGTTTTATTATTTATTCTTGTGTTATATTTTTTTCATGCAAACAACTGTAAACATACTTTGCCCGCCCCTGTATCTTTAGGAATAAATATTTTAAAAAATTTTGGGAAGATATCAGAAGAGAGGTTGCTGGGCCATATAACTCTATTCTTAATTTTTTGAGGAACCTCCATACTCTTTTCTAAAGTGGCTATACCAGCTTACATTCCCACCAGCAGTGAATGAGGATTCCTTTATCTCTACAACCTCTCTAACACTTGTTATTACTTGTCTTATTGATATTAGCTATTCTAACAGGTCAGAGATGGGATCTTATTATAGTTTGATTTGCATTTCCCTAATAGCTAGTGAACTTGAGCATTTTGTTATAATCTATTGGATCAAAGACCTAAATATAAGACCTGAAACAATAAATTACATGGAAGAAAACATAAGTACTAAATTTATAGACTTTGGTCTAAGAACTTTATGAATTTGACCTCAAAGACAAGGGAAGTAAAAGCAAAAATGAATGTGACTGTTTTGTTTACAGACAAAGATTTGAAGGAATCCTAGGTATCCTTCTCCCAGGAATGCTTGGTGTCAGGGGCCAGAACGAAGAAAGTAAATCAGGGGATGAGCAGCTTGCACATTAGTTGTCACTTGGAATTGTGCTTCCTTGTACATTTTCCAATATCCTTGGTGGGTTTTTATGAGGTTTATTCACACAGTAATTTGCTGAAAATAGTTATCTGAAGCAGGTTTCCAAATCACTATTGCACATTAATGAGACTGCTGTTCTACAATTAGATCAGCACATCAGGTATTCTTGAAGGAAATGGCAAAATGGGGGGGGGGGAAAAAAGAAGACACCGAAGATGCAAATAGGGTTTGAGAGATTCACAGTGGTGGTAGGATGTGTTTTAAGTTACTAGGAAATTGTACACCTATAATTTAAATCACATATCTTGAGAGAGAGAGAGAGAGAGAGAGAGAGAGAGAGAGAGAGAGACACTAACGGAAAGGAAGAAGAGACAGTGTTAGAACAGAAATTCTGTGTAGGCTTTGCTACTTGAACTTGAAGTTATGACAAAGTTCTGCTATGTGTTCTCAGACTCGAATGTGTTTTGACATATATAGTTATATTTTTAAACTGTGTCTGACAGTCACTAACCACAGACAATTGTAATTGCAGCTTATTTTTTTGTTATTTCTGAGTTTCTACGATATAGAGAAAGACTATGTACAATTCATCCCTCTAATTCTCCTACATTTTCTTCCCTTACATCCTCTCCCCTCGATTACCTGCCTTTTAATTTTTTAAAATATATTTTATTAGCCGTAACCGGTTTGGCTCAGTGGATAGAGCGTCGGCCTGCGGACTGAAAGGTCCCA